CGAGATTACAAATCGAGGAAAATGATACCTGATTCAATAATTCCGCCGCGAATCTGAAATGCTATAAGGATCAATTAGGGGATGAACGAAATTAGCCCAGTACACAAACAATCTCGGGTGAGCCCTAGAAGTCCACTACCGTTTCTTTCTCTTCGGTTTTTCTTTCCTTTTTCATTTTCTATCCCTGGTTCTCTAAAAGCCTCACGCGATTCTCACGTGCCGCGTAGTTCGCAATTTTCACGCTCCGGAAAAATAAAACACAAGATTTCTGAATTTTTCCCTCATCCCTCATCCCACCTTCTTCCTTTTTATTTWTTTATTTTGACTAATATGTGACAATTATGGCTAAGCCATCCCGCCCTTTTTCTAACGACTAAGCACAATAAAGTATACAAAATTTTACATTATAAATAGAAAAATATTTAACATTTTCATCCAAACGAATATAGTTCAATTGTAATTGACATATACTTCAAACCACAGAGTTGTGAGTTTGAATTCCTATATATTTAACATTTTCACGTGATCACTTCTTTTTAAATAACAGTTTGATTATTTTAAAAAAAAATATTTATTTTTATATTTATATTTCTTATTTGTAGGTAGATTTCATCACCTAAATATCTTTCTTAAAATATGTCTTTTACAGTAAAGAGTCTAATGTTTCTTAAAAAAATAAATGAAAGATTAAATTTTAGATACTAAACAATAAAGAAGCTAGATATTAAAAAAACCAGTAGTATTAAACTTTATCTTTAAAAACTGAATTTTAAAAATAACATTAATGCTAAATTATATGTAAAAATTAAATGAACTTTATCCTTTGTTTCAAAAAACTCCTATCATTTAAAAAAGAATGCTATTAATGATCTAGACCTTTTAAAGATTATTTGAATAAATATACATTAATATTTTGAGAAGGGACGAAAAGTAAGAAGAACTATATTTTTCAATTTAAGGCGAAATTGAAACGTTAATATAATTTCAATAAAATTTGTAGGAAGAAAAACAAAACAAGTGAAAATCACCTGGCAACGAGAGGTTGGTTCAGTTATTTTGGTGGTAGGTGGCGATTGTGATCGGGAGTTTTTTCTTTCTTTTTTTTTTTCAAATTATTTATTCGCAAATGTCATCAGAAATTAATTTGCTAACTCTTTCATCTGCTCGTGAGAGGAAAAGGGCATAAATTAAATAATATTTCAGCGATTATATATAGAGAGAGTAGGATTCGGAGACTCCAACTTTAACCTCGATTTGATCGCAGTTTAACCCAATCCACCACCAATCCGTAAGCGTTTCTCTAGATTTTCTTTGGAAGATTTTTTTCTTACTTTTGGCCATTTCTGATTTGTGCTCTGATCAAGATCTATTATTTCTGCTAATTCAAATTTTCGGATCTTTGAGCAATTAGTTGACTTCGGTTGATTTCATTGTTTTGGTTTTGCTATTTTTTGATTGGTTTCTTCTCTGGCGCAATGTAGGTATTGAGAAATGGCGCGCAAGAAGATCAGAGAGAACGATTCCAAGAGATTGTTGAAGGAGCATTTTAAAAGAATTTCTGGCCGTGATTTACCGATCAAATCAGCGCAGGTAAGTTCATTTTTCTTCTTCCGATTATTGTCGAGTGTCGATATCTCCGCTGATGGAGATTCAGGATCGTTTGATTTATTATTTTTGTTTTTCCATGTTCGGTAGATGCCTCTTCACAAACGCTATCCATTGTTAATTGGCGCCATTGCTTTACTTAATAGTGTCAATGAGACAAAACCATAAATTTCGGAAAGTTTTTAGGGTTACTTTCGGATGCGTGAAAAGTGCTTCTAGCCCTATTTTGAAACTTCTGGAAAAATAATATCCACAAATGATTTTAGGAGAAAGAAAAGAAGTGTTTTAATTTTGAAGTACTTTTGCTTACTCTTAATTCTTAATCATATAAAATCACACTGTATATTGAATCTTATTTTGTTAATCTTTCAATATTTGCAATAATGCTTTATTTCCGACATGCTATAGGTTAGTGAATCGACCGATTTCAATGAGCTAGCTGAGAAGGAACCCTGGCTGTTATCGTCAAAATTGGTTGTGAAGCCTGACATGTTGTTTGGAAAGCGTGGTAAAAGCGGTTTAGTTGCACTAAATCTAGACTTGGCTGAAGTAACTAATTTTGTGAAGGAACGTCTGGGGAAAGTGGTACTATATATCAACTTCTTCTCCTCCATCTCTTCATCAGCAAGCATTTCAGTTAATTTTACATTTTATTCTTTTTTAGTGATTACATATTTACTTGTTTCTTTTTTGGTTTTCTTTCAAATACTAGGTGGAGATGAGCGGATGCAAGGGACCCATTACAACATTTATAGTGGAGCCTTTTATCCCACACAACGAAGAATTTTATCTGAATATTGTCTCAGAAAGGCTTGGCTGTAGTCTAAGCTTTTCAGAATGTGGAGGAATTGATATTGAAGAGAACTGGGATAAGGTGTGGTTGAATGCTTTTATTAGCAGTTTGTCTCAGAAGATACAAAAGTTCTTTCTTTTTTTTTTTTCTTTTTGTCATCACATGGTCTTTTTATACCACTTTCATGATGATATATGATCTCTTTAGGTCAAGACCATCTTTGTTCCAACAGGAGCATCCCTTACATCGGAAATATGTGCTCCACTTGTTGCCACCCTTCCTTTGGAGGTACTTTCATCACAAATAGTTCCTGGTTCATATTCCTACTTCTAGCGTTCTGATGCGGTTTTCCTGATGAAATAAGTCAACAGTATTCTAGCATAGGATTCAGCAATTCAGAATGAACTTTATCCTGCCATATTTTTTCTGTGAAATTTTCAGCATGTTTTGTGCCCACTCTAGCTATAGAGAACTGACACRAATTTTGCTTTTTAATCCAGATCAAGGGGGAAATTGAGGACTTTCTCAAGTCTGTTTTTTCTCTATTTCAAGGTGCTCTACTTTTATTTTTTCCTGATAATGGATATTCTAGCAGAAATAGCTTCAGTGGCTTGTAGAACTCCATCTCAACTTCTTGGATTCATGTTTGCCAGATTTGGACTTCACTTTTCTGGAAATGAATCCCTTCACATTGGTTGATGGAAAGCCTTATCCACTGGACATGAGAGGCGAACTGGATGATACTGCTAGTTTTAAGAATTTCAAAAAGTATGACCTTTTTTTTCCATACATTTCCCTTTTTGAACAAATTAGATGATCACAATTTTATTGGTGCTGTTAATTCTATTTATGCTTTAGTTGTTATATTTATTGTTATCTTATACTGCGACTATGTAGGTGGGGTGATGTTGAGTTCCCATTGCCGTTTGGAAGAGTTATGAGTGCAACAGAGAGCTTTATTCATGGCCTAGATGAAAAGGTGAAGAAAAAAACTCCCATACATCTTTCAGCAAGCCTCTTTATCTCTTTCATTACTTTTTGACTCTGCTAGTGCCGTTTTTATGTCAAAAGAGAGATTTATCGGCATTAGTAGTTCTTCAGCCTCCAAATTTTCATATGCACTTCTATGTCTGGTAATCCAATAGAGAACTCTTAGGATTCTGATCTGAATTAAAGTCTTAGGATTCTGATCTGAATTAAGGATATCAAATACTTAAAGCTGAAGGGAAATCATGTAGTGCAATGCAATATTGATTCCAGAAGAACCAGTTCTTTAGGGATTGTATTGAACTCGATAATACGTATTCACATTTGCTTTACCTGCAGACGAGTGCATCATTGAAATTCACTGTCTTGAACCCAAAAGGAAGAATATGGACCATGGTTGCTGGAGGAGGTGCAAGTGTCATTTATGCAGACACGGTACACCTTCCATATTGAGTCCCTCTAGCTCAGTGTCCTGTTGCTATTATATACTAATGAAACCTTCCTGTTACTGTTAGGTTGGAGATCTTGGTTACGCCTCTGAGCTTGGGAATTATGCAGAATACAGTGGAGCACCAAACGAAGAGGAGGTGTTACAGTATGCCCGAGTTGTTATTGATGTAAGTGCTCTTCCTCCACCAAAAGATCTGATGATCAACAGTTACTCTTTCCTTGTTTTTTCCTACTGGATTTGATAATTGTTCTGAGGTTGGTTGTGATGCCAATGATAAGGAAAATATCAAAATATCTGAATTCCTGGACAATGGTTTTCATTTTCCATTAACATTAACGTGGTTCTGTTTTCATTCTACTTTTCTTTTTTCTTTTTTTGGTAGTGTGCAACTGCAGATCCTGATGGCCGTAGTAGAGCGCTTGTGATTGGTGGAGGAATAGCTAACTTTACGGATGTAGCTGCTACATTTAATGGCATAATTAGGGCCTTGAAGGAGAAGGTAAGATCTAGCAATGAAGTTCCCAGACAAACTGTAGAACCTTTTTCCCAATTAGCAGCTAAACATCTGAACTCGTTTCCCCCTCTCATTCAGGAAGCAAAGCTTAAGGCAGCAAGAATGAATATTTATGTAAGGAGAGGAGGTCCTAACTACCAGAGGGGCTTGGCAAAAATGCGGGCACTTGGAGAAGAACTCGGCATTCCAATTGAGGTACATCGAATCATTTCACAGTCATGTAAAGCTCAATGCCTATAATTTTAACACTCAGCAGTAGCGATCAAATTAGTGAGAGGCTCAGAAATTTCTTCCATGTTCTGTTGTAGGTCTATGGCCCTGAAGCAACAATGACTGGTATATGCAAGCAAGCCATTGAATGCATCACCGCAGCTGCGTAAGTCTCCGTTGGAGTATTCTGACTTTTTCCTCTAACAACTATCATCTATACCAAAGTTGGAGAATCTGATAGAATTCTTTTTTATTTCCCTCTATCCCATCCCTTGGCTTCTTAACGATAGTTTCATTCAAAAATTTGCCATGGGTCTTTTATGACAAGAGTAGGAAAAGATACTGCTAATGGCAATGTATGGATATTAAATAAAGAACCTTTTAATGTTTAGTCTGAATTGAGGCTAATTTTCATGGGTCATGAAAGTTCTGTTATGTGTTATCTGTACTAGCTTAACTCTTTAAAAGTGGTTTTCTCTGAGATTATAGGCACGATATGATAATTGACTTTAAAACAAAGATAAAAACTTGTCAAGGACCTTCAGATCTTCGGATAATTGTAAATGTTCTTCCTAGTGCACCTYTTCTCCTGGGAGAATTTTGATTCTTGAAACATAGCTGTAAAAGAAAATGTGCAACTTGCACCTTCATTGGTGTCAGTTCTCTACCAACAACCATGCGTTTTTCTAAAGAACTGCATGACATCTTCTCTACTTCTACCCAGTGTCAAACTTTAATCACAATCTTAAGATCTTTTATACCAGAACTTTTTTATTCCTATCATTCTTGTCGTGCGTGCTGGTTTCTTACGAGCACCCTGATGGTAACATCGGGCCTGGATGAGCTGAGCTTATATACTTGTTTATAAAGTTTGAAGAACTTTGAAAATGTCCACCCACATCCAATACCATTCAATTTCTCAAGAACAAAATTTAGAAAAATTAACCACGGACGACATATTGATAAGGAAGAACTCTAGGCTAGAGCTTGTAGACTATGGCAAGGGGAATGTAATTTTCTAACACTTGGATACTCATGGTACCAGAACCCATGGTGATCACCTATTTTTTGGATAAAACATCTTTGTATTTCTTGACAGTTGTATGTTGTAGAATCATGCTGCACCCCATGAGAATAGTTCCCTAGCGTGGTGCATGTAATCTAGTTCGAATACTCATAATATTAAAGAAAAATCAGAAAAAAGGAAGTCTGTTAAAGCTAGCAACATTTGAAATGCAAACCCACCAAGGAAACCGAGAGCAACTACCACCCTCCAGTCTTAAAAGCTCTCCCTAATCATCACTAAAAAAAATAATTCCCTATTATTATTATTTTTTTTTTTGGAAAATTGGGAGTCGTAACTTTGCCCTATCATACCCATGCCTACCCCAAGGCTTAGACCGAAAAGATATGAAGAGATTTGGTATTAAACTCACCGGAAGGTTCAAACTTGAGACTTCTAAATCAGTATAACCAAGAGATCATCCCAAATCCTTGCCAATCAAGTTGCCTTTGGATAATCATTTGGAGAAACATCTTCCAAGTGGTTGATTGGGAATCACTTAAGTGATAGATTTTTTCCAAAATCGCTTATGAATCATTATTAGACATGTATATTTTAAAATGGAAGTGATTTGGCATTAGTGAAAGTGATTCTAGACTTCTATTCATACTAAAATCATTCCCAAGCATACCTTTAAAGTGACAAAAAATGTTGTCACTTAAAATTAAATAACCTAAACTCTTAGATATAATAATTTAAAATTTTCAGTCTGTAGCAGAATTGGTTAAGACATATATTATCAACTAAAAAATTAGAGATTCAAATCCCGCCAAAAAAACCATATTTTGAAGTGATATGTTCATTGTTTACAATCCTTTTGAGTTATTGTCACACCTTTCACTTCATATTGATGGCATGGGTTAGTTTAACTCTTTTGTGGCCCTTCCATTATCTCCTCTTCTTATCTAATGGGGATACCAAAAGTCTATTAAATAAGTCCTCTTAGCTCTTATTAATGAAAAGATATGCCAATATGATGATACAATTAGAGATGTCTATTTTTCATGCAGAACCTATTTAAACGGGGTGGAGAATTCTTGTTTAAATTTCATATGGGTGAGGATGGGGAAAGTTTTTTCTTTGTCGCCTAAATGGGGACGAGGACGGAGAACTGTTCCCTATTCCCCATTCTTCGTTCACCGCACACACGCGCGCGCRCACACACACACGATAATACAATTTTATTGCTTTCTCTATGTATAATATGTATAATAAAAAAATCATATTCTTTTCTGCCACCCGTCCAATATATGTATATATATAGAGACGGGTTAGACCATGTGGTTTTATGATTAGAAATAAAAAATTAATTAGAAATTTCTTTAGAAAAAATTATTTAATTGTGAAATAATTTTTAAAAATAAAAATAAACAAAAAAAATCCCCTATAGGGAACCTAATCCTCGCGAATTCTCGGCACTAAATCCCTGCCTCAATCCCCGCTAAATTTCATGCAAAATATCACAAGGATGGAGAATTAAATAGGGGGCGGGGAAGCCTTCCACGTCCCCACCCTATCCCATGAACATTCTTAGATATGAGTCTAAACTCTAAAGAAAATTGATGAAATTTATATAAGTATATCATTTTTTTATCTTATTTAAAAAAAACAATTTAACATTTGAACTGAGTTTTTTTAATGCATAAATTATAATACCATGTTTTTCAAATATCTAAAAAAATGTTAAAAAGTATGATTAAATTGTGGCACTCCCTGTAAAGCCTAATCGTCAAATAAGCTTGTTTGAAGTATAATTGAGGAAAAAAAAAACTCAAGAAAGTTAGGTAAAAAGTGGAGGGTAGAAAAGATCAACATTCCAAATATTCAAACATATTTGAATTGAGATAAAGCCTAAAGATATAAATAAGAACATCTCAATCAATATTATGACTCTTAGATACAACCATGTGGTAGATAACATGTAGTACAATGATAATATGAAGAGTCCTTCAATATTCGTCCAACAAGTGGTGGTTTTTTATTACTCAATAAATTCATGACAGTTGTAGATTGTAGAATCCTACTATCCGTCCCATGAGAATAATTCCTTAGTGTGGTGCATCTAATCTGATTCAAATACTCACGATAGTAAAATTAAAGGAGAAAAAAAACAAAACAAAAGAAACAAAAACGTCTATGAAAACTAGCATCATTTGAAATAAACCTACCACCCTTTACAATTCTTTGTATTTATGGTCTTACCTTTCCTTCATATTGAAGGCATTGGTTAACTCTTTTGTGGTCCTTTCATTTTGTCCCTCTTCTTATCCATGGGATATTAAAAAGTCTATTAAAGAAGTTCTCCAACTCTTATTAATGAAATGATATACCCTTTTCTCAAAAAAAAAAAGAAAAAAAAAAGATATACCCATTTGGGATGAATCTAAACCCTAAACAAAATTGATCTAATTATAAAGTATATCATTTTGTTATCTTATTTGAAGAAAGACAAGTTAATCTATGGAAGAAGTTTTTTCAATGCATCAATTATAATACAATATTTTTCAAATATCTAAAAAAAATGTTAGAAAGTATGATTAATTTGTTAAACTCAAAAAGAATCTCTTGTGGTTCTATAGGGTTGAATTTGGGGCAGAAAAAAACCAACATTCCAAATATTCAGACACTTCAAATCTTACGGTGGAAATTGTCCCAAATTGGAAATTTTCTAAAAAAAAAACTCTTGTGGTTCTATTGGAAAGTGTCCCTTATTGGAGATGCAAGCATATTGTTGCAAATTTGAATTGACAAAAAAGTTGAAACATATCAATGAGAACATCTCAATCAACATAATGACTTTTAGACAGAACCATATTGACAGCACAGAAAATTTAATCGTTCCAATAAGTGATGACAAAAATCGTAGGTCCATGAAAATAGTTTCGTAATATGGTGCTTGCTAGTTCAAACACTAACACTATTAGAAGAAAAAAGATAGAAACTTTTTGTTTCTAAAAAAAGCTAGCAACATTTCAAAAACAAACCTTCTATAAGAAACGCCAGATTTTTTTTTTAACCACTCCAACTATGTATCTATATTTTATTTTATTTTATTATTATTGTTTTTAAATTTTGGGATCTCTTAGTTTTGTACTAACATAATTAACTTTTTCTTTAATGCAAGATACCAAAAATTTTTAACTATCTATCTTTCGATAAATTGTGGACCTCACAAGTTTTAAATACAGTTTACTATCAAGTTGTGGACCCATAAAATCAATCTCTTCAAAACAATTAAAATTTTACAAAACATTTCAAAAAAATTAATAAATTTTAAAATAAATCTTATCATTATAACAACCATTTAAAAAATGTATTTTCTTTTTCTAAATTTTTTTTAAAAAAAAAACACTACTACCTCAAAAGATCTCCAAATTAGAGTGTGTTTACGAGTGACGGTAGAAACAGTGATTTTGAAAAAAGAGATTTAGGACGTGTTTTAGAGTGATTTTGTCATTTTGGAAAAAGAGATTTATGGTGTGTTTGGAAATGATTTTATCATGACAAAATAACATTTGTTATTGTCAAAATCACTCTTGTTTTCATGGATATGTTTGACAAATTAAAATTTTATTTTAGGAAAATCTAAAATCACTTAAAATTGATTTGTAAGTTATCCGGTGGCGATTTTGGAAAATCAATTACTCTTAAATCATTTTTTTTAAATCACTCATTCTACAGTCACTCTCAAATACACCATTAAAAGTAATTAAAGTCAGAACATGAACATTCATCCCTAGGATGTTTTGTTCAGCACCGAGTTAAAATAACAGTAGTTGGTCCAAGGAATTTCAATGTTGGCCTTCTGGGAGGGAGGAAATTACTTCACCATCATTTAATTGGTTGTTTACAAAAATTCAGACAAATCCGAATTCAGTGTACGATAGATAGAAGGTAAGGTTGTAAGGGTTGGAAATATCGAACACTTAATTTTATGAAAATATTATCTATAGATTTTTTTTTTCAATGAAGTATTTTACCATTTATAAATAAGTTTAAAATTATCAATATTAATAATATATGTCAATATTAGAAGTATTTTATTGATATTTGATGAATTTTCTGTGATACTATAAAAATGTTGATTTACCAATAATATTATGTCAAATTCATTAATATATAGAAATAGTTATGGAAATATTGATATATAGATGAAAATTTTATAGCTTAGTGAAAAAGACAGCTAAATTAATGGAAATTTAATACATAGAAAATAAAGTTACAATACGGAAACTATATAAATGTATTTAATGTAAAGAGAGTACTATTGCAGAGGTCTTTCATTATTGTTTTCTAAGTAGGAAACAAATGTATTTATTTATCATATAAACTTTATTGTCTGTACCAAATTTCTACATGACAA